TGAACCGTTCCTCCCTCCTTGCTTGCTTTCCGCGCCATGTGCTGAACCTTCCTCTGCCCTCCTTGCTTGCTTTCCGCGCCATGCTGAACCGTTCCTTCCCTCCTTGCTTGCTTTCCGTGCCATGCTGAAACCGTTCCTCCCCTCCTTGCTTGCATTTTCCACCATGCTGACCCGTTCCTTCTCTCTAGGCAATACAAGATTTTGAAGGAGGGTCACACCAGCTTCCGTACTCCGTCTACCTTCGGCGTGGGCCTACTTTACATCCGACTGCCTGCTTTTTCAGCTTCAGAGCATCGTGTGATGATGCAGGTCTTGCCTCTCATCATCGATCTCCCAGGACGGAAAGATGTCCGGACGGCAATCGTGCTCATGGTCGAGTGGTACAAGGAGTTTATTCGCGCTGAGTACCACACCGACGATTCCCTAAAACGGATGAAAGATGCCACCATCAGGTAGTCACTCTTGTTGTTGTGTGGGCTCCCAAGCGTTCATTGCCACATACACCCATTTTCCTCGCATCAACCGTACCTACATGCTCTCCCCCACCACCCCCACCCCCCTTCCCTTTCATCTTGTTTTGACCCTTTGCATCCCTGTTCTTCCATACCCCACCTGCTTGACCTCCCATCCTGCCCTTTTTTTCCCTTGACTGCATGATTCCTCACCCCCCTTCCCTCGTGTCGTTTCTCCCTTCCTGCCTGCATTCCACCCCTTAACTGCATGCATGCTCTCGACTGTCTCTCCCCAGCATGGTGAAGGCTCTGCGTGTTGCATTTCCTAAGCAGAAGTCAAAGTGGAAAATAGTGAAAATTCATCTCCTCGTCCACCTCCCGTCAACCATCCGTCTTCGGGGAATCCCTGCGGAGTACTCGTCGAACTGTTACGAGCACTCCCACAAGACCACTGTGAAGCGTCCTTCACGTGGCACGAATTGGAAGAATGTTGAAGATCGCATCGTTCGGAAACACCTGGAGCACGTGGTAGTTAGACAACTAGCGCGGGAGGCCGGCGGGGACAGCACGTACGAGACTTCGATGAAAGAGGTGATTCTTTTAAACCTGCAATGTCCCCCCTGCTCTGTACCCCTGCACACTCTCGTCTGCTTTGTTTCCCTGTTTTATTCCCATGCTCTGCTCTCCTGCTCTAACTCACTGCATGGCTGCCCTGCTCTGCTCTCTTGCTCTGTTCCACTTTTCTGTACCCCTGCTCTGTTTCCCTGCTCTGTTTCCCTTCTCAGTTCTCTTGCTCTCTTCTCCTGCTTTGTTCCCCTAATCCGTTCCCCTCCTCTGTACCCTTTTCTGTTTCCCTGCTCTGTTCTCATCACTGTTTCCATGCTATGTTCACTGATGTGTCTGCCCTGCTCTGTGCCCTGTTCTATTTGCCCTGATTTGGTCCCTGCTCTGTTTGCCCTGCTTTCATCCCTGCTCCGCAACATCCTCCTGTGTTCCCTACTATTTCCCTGCTATGTTCCACTGCTCTGTTCCCCAAGATCTGTTTCCATGCTCTCTGCATGAGTTGGCAATCAGATGCTGGACCAACCTAACCAAAGTAACCGACTCCTACCCTCCATCCCCGTCTTCGTCCCCACAAACTCGCCCCCGTCCCCCCACCCTCATTTCCCCATGGTCCCTAGCCCTCTCCTTCGCCTCCCCCGCATCAATCCCCTCCCCCACCCTCTCTTCCACCCTCCAAATGCCCACACCATTCACCCCACCCCCTCCCTATACCAACCCTCTCATCTTCACGGTGACAGGCATGCCTGGCTGGCCGGAGGGTGCTTACTAAGACCCACTAGAAGATGGTCATTGGAGACATCACCGACTCGGTGTTCCGGAGCTACGTCTTGACGCTGGGTGAACCCGCCATGAGTGCGATGGTTCTGCGCCTCAAACAGGCGGGCATCAACACGCAAGTCTTGCAGGTGCATTCCCCTCTCCTGCTTGCTTTCCACCCCATCCACCCCTGGTTCCCCCTCTCCTGCTTGCTTTCCACCCCATCCGCCCCTGGTTCCCCCTCTCCTGCTTGCTTTCCACCCCATCCACCCTTGGTTCCCCCTCTCCTGCTTGCTTTCCACCCCATCCACCCCTGATTCCCCCTCTCTTGCTTGCTTTCCACCCCATCCACCCCTGGTTCTCCCTCTCCTGCTTGCTATCCACCCCATCCACCCCTGGTTCCCCCTCTCCTGCTTGCTTTCCACCCCATCCACCCCTGGTTCCCCCTCTCCTGCTTGCTTTCCACCCCATCCACCCCTGGTTCCCCCTCTCTTGCTTGCTTTCCACCCCATCCACCCCTGGTTCTCCCTCTCCTGCTTGCTATCCACCCCATCCACCCCTGGTTCCCCCTCTCCTGCTTGCTTTCCACCCCATCCACCCCTGGTTCCCCCTCTCCTGCTTGCTTTCCACCCCATCCACCCCTGGTTCCCCCTCTCCTGCTTGCTTTCCACCCCATCCACCCCTGGTTCCCCCTCTCCTGCTTGCTTTCCACCCCATCCACCCCTGGCTCCCCCTCTCCTGCTTGCTTTCCACCCCATCCACCCCTGGTTCCCCCTCTCCTACTTGCTTTCCACCCCATCCACCCCTGGTTCCCCCTCTCCTGCTTGCTTTCCACCCCATCCACCCCTGGTTCCCTCTCTTCTGCTTGCTTTCCACCCCATCCACCCCTGGTTCCCCCTCTCCTGCTTGCTTTCCACCCCATCCACCCCTGGTTCCCCCTCTCTTGCTTGCTTTCCACCCCATCCACCCCTGGTTCCCCCCTCTCTTGCTTGCTTTCCACCCCATCCGCCCCTGGTTCCCCCTCTCCTGCTTGCTTTCCGCCCCATCCACCCCTAGTTCCCCCTCTCCTGCTTGCTTTCCACCCCATCCGCCCCTGGTTCCCCCTCTCCTGCTTGCTTTCCACCCCATCCGCCCCTGGTTCCCCCTCTCCTGCTTGCTTTCCACCCCATCCGCCCCTGGTTCCCCCTCTCTTGCTTGCTTTCCACCCCATCCACCTCTGGTTCCCCCTCTCCTGCTTGCTTTCCACCCCATCCACCCCTGGTTCCCCCTCTCCTGCTTGCTTTCCACCCCATCCGCCCCTGGTTCCCCCTCTCCAGACTGCTGTCCATGCAAACCCTGGCCAATACCCCATTTCCCTTATGCTCTCCACCCCCTCTTTCACTGCTTTCCTTTTTTCTTTGTTGAATGCTCGTGGTGTCAGGTGCACACGGCACTTGCGATCCAGCCACACGATAAGATGGAATGGACGTCAAGGGGGCAGTTCGTCAAGGCTAGCCCAGCCCAGCAAAACTTCTCGTCGATTGCGATCAACCTTGCAGGGAAGGGATCCCCGTGGTATGGCCGTTGCCTTGTGCTGTTTCATTACAACAAGGGTGGTGAGCTGAGGCGAGGCGCATATGTGGAGTACTACACCGAAGACAAGCGACAATGCCCATCGACGGGATGCAAGCCTCTTTTACCCACAGAGGGCGTTGATAATTATGCGGTGATCGATGTAGACTGCATTCTTAGTCTCGTGCACATTGTACCCTCGTGCGAGGACGATGAAGGGAGCCTCCTCAACAGATTTGTATGGTGAGGCCTTTGACCCAATGTGACTGTGGTAAACGTTGATTTTGAAACTAGAATATTGATATTTTTAGGCATTTCTTTAATCTAATAGGTGCAAAATCAATAACCATTGGTTAAATATGACACTTGGAAACCCATGTTCTTAATGGGATTTACAAATTCAAGAAATAATCTTCATAGGTTTTGCTGTAACAAACAATGCACAGAAGTAAAATAGAGACATTTATATCGAGAACAGGTTTACAGCACAAATCTTCCAAGCAAGGAGACCAGCTCCAACCCCTCTTAGTCGTGAAACCCTAATGCTGCAACAACAGGCAAGAAACATTGAGCGGAAACATACGAATAGTGTCTCCAAAACGTCTCAAGAGGGACAAACGATTTTTGTAGGTTTCCTATACGTTTTTCAAACGATTGTCAAACATACGATCGACCTGCGGGAACGTCAGATGATTTTCAAACACACACATTTTTTGTGATGTCGCGATGTTGGGACGTGCATTGTTATGCCATATACGGCGATTGAGTGGACCTCCAAGATACAGCTCCAGAGCCCAAGCGGAAACAGTACCCCTCATTCGACCTGCTGGTCCCCTTGTTGCCCGCCCAGGACGAGTCGCAGCGCCAAGCAATTCGCACTGGCTGAGTCCCTTCGACCATGAGCCCCTTGCCTGATCTGGTGACAGGTATTTCGCTACCCTCTTAGCAACCATTTAGTGAACCTGACGATGGCTCCAAGTCGCAACCAAATGAGCAAGGATGATGAGAGGAAAGTCGATGTTTTGTCGTGTACACGTCATCAAGTACATGAGGCAACCCACAAGCACTACGTAGCATGCACCAGGCTCAATTGGCTTGTAAAAAACAGGTGACGTAAGCCTGTGGTCAACTATAAGAGGCGTGGGATGTGTGGTGGTGAATTGGAAGACGAAGGTGCACTATGTATGACTGAGTCAGAGTGATAGTGCAAAAAGCTTTGTCCTTGAAATCCTGCAAGCCAAGATAGCTACGCAGTTTTCCAAAGTCAGTGCAGGTTCCGACATAATCAATTCTGAGTACAGTAGTTTCGATTTCACCTCAGCCAGAACAGCTCCGCCTGTAGTAGCGAAGACCAAGTCGTCGACATAGACAAGGATAAAGAAAGAAGTGAATCCAAGAAGAACGAATAGTGACAGGTCAAGTGGAGAAAGATTGAAGCTCAACAAGAGTAGAGCAAAGAGTTTTGTGCCACTCTCGTGGTGCTTGGTGGAGAGCGTAGACTAGTCGCCTTAGGCTCCACTAGGTCCTAGGCGGGAAAGTGCCAGTGAAGCCAGAAGGATGGCGTAGCCAGATCCCCTTTTGCAGGCTGCCCTGGAGGAAGGCGGTGAATAAGTCTAGCAAGTGCAACTCGCAAGAGCACCCAAATAATGGTCCTCCCTGGGATAGGGGAGAAGGGTCTAAAAGAAGCCAATCCCGCTGGCTAGATCATCTGGCCACGTAGCGCGCCTTGAAGATAGGCGGCAATCAAGGCGTTTTATCACTTTGAAGATCCACATGCGATCAGCTGCATTCGCCTTGAGGAACTGCGTTCTACGTTCTTGACTGTGGACCTCCAGAACACCATCTCCGAGTCCATGGCTGCTATCTATTGAGAGTCTTGAGGTCCCAAACCGCCTCAGAGTAAGTGCAAGGACTCAGGATGTCTAGAGCGCCATGGCCTCCATCGCGAGTTAGAAGCATTTCACAGAGATGAAGAGTAGTGTCTGGAAGATATCTAAGCTCAAATTGACTTGTCTCTAGGATGTCACAACAATGGGCAAACTCTAACACAACGAGTTATGGACGGGTAGGAGGAGCAGCCACTAAGCAAGTTGCGTAGTCAACGCGGTAAAGTCAGTGAGAGCGGTGACAAGAGCCGAAACAGACGACGGAGAGGCAGTAAGGTGACTAACAAGAAAGGAGAGGGCACAGGAGACGACAGGAAAAGTGGTTAAAAAAAAGTGATCAGGAAGAGGAGAGGAAGAGTAAGTGACAGATGATGCAAGAGGCGACAGGAGAACAGCTGGAAGTGGAACACGAAGAGGAAGAGAAGGAAAAAGAGACTGGAGGCCTGGGATAGGAGATGAGGGACAAGCACCTGGAGAGCAACGGGACTAGGGAGTAGATGCTAGAGAATGGGTTACAGCAGGAGAAGGGAGGGAAGGAGGTTGCAGCAGTGACCAAGGAAGAGAATAAGTTGAAGACGCATCGCGAGGAGGAAACATGGGACCTTAAACAGGAGGAGACGACAAGCGGTCGGGATAAGGGGATGAAAGGTCAAGAGTTTGAAGACCACCAACAAGTGGCGACTACCTCTGCTACTGCAGCAGCAGCTGCTGCTGCTGCTGTTGCTGTGGCCGCCGCTAGAACCTCGTTAGGTATCGAGGGACGGCTGGACACGAGCTGAAGGTGTAGCACCCCCTGAGCCCGTATCTCCAGTGCCAGGGTCGCTAGCTCCAGCACTCCAACTCTAGCACCCAGCGGCTGTACCTCTAGCTCCATAATTTCCACTTAACACGTCCAACGCGATGACTCCTAGAACCAGCACCTCTAGTACCAGCACCCCCAGTGCCAGTAACTCCAGCTCCTCCGACACCTCCATCAGCAACCCCTCTGCCAGGACCCCCAGATACAGCGCCTCCTGTACCAGGAGCTCCGATGTCAGCACCCCTTAAACCAGCACCTTGAGTGCCACTACCTCCAGCTCTAGCACCATCACCTCCAGTACCAGGGACCTGCCACGGTAGCACCGAAGGCTTTTGCGGTGACTGTAATTACGACGAAGGGGACTGTGGTGAAGTAGACGACATCAGACGTGCGACTTAGGGGGAGGGGGGGGATGGCATGAGATACACCTGACGGGGCAGGACTTGGGTGGGAGCGAGGAAAAGGGGGGGTGACTTCACGATTGAGGGGGAGAAAACGGACACCGACTCATTAGACTGTGGTCAGACTTGAGATGGGAAACTTGCAATTGAAATGACTGATTAGAGCTTGACTAACATAAGTCAGATTTTATCATATGCATCAACAAAATATCACAAGGCAGTCTAAATTTATACAAAAACGCTTAACGTTACAAATTTGTTGACATCAATGTTCGAGCCCGTAACCTTTCGGTCTACAAACATTTGCGTGGACTAAGACACAGCAGGCTGAATCAGATTGACAGACATTTTTGAAACAAATTCGTTGACTTCGCGGAACAGTTTTAGGACGGAAGGTTTTCGGGAACCACTGTACACTCTTATGAAATTCTCTTTCGGGCCCGTGGACAGATGTGGGACATTTTCGAGAGCCCCTAAAAAGTCTTTGGGGAAGGCCAAAATGGGGGGACCGTCTTGGGACCTCAACTTTTTGGTGATGCTCACAACCCTAAGTATACCCGTCCGTTCCTTAACTGGAGGCCATACTAAATTGTGGCGGTTCGATGGCAAGCAACAGAGTTGAGAAGCGAAGTATGGTGACTGGCGAGGCGTTTCACCCGCCAAAACGTGGCTACTCAGCTCGGGGCGAGCCGAGGTTAGACGCGCTTTCTTCCGTTGATTCCGTATGTTTGAAGTGATGACGGCTGTAAGATATAATTGTGTGGCCTCGCGTCGTGATAGAACGAGCTATTACTAACAGTAGCGACGTGACGTGAGGCTGATGAGCTAGCCAGCGCACGAGCTATGAATAGACGGAGTGATAGCCACCGTCGAGATACGCAACTTGAACGTGAATGCGGTCGAATTCCCGTCCGTAAAAAACTCCTAGCAGTGATAAGATTGGCAGTCTGGCTGCAGTGCACAAAGGCTGGAAGCATCTTGGGTTTACAGCCTTAGGGACGCGGTGCAATCGAAATATTTATAAATGTTGAATTCTGAAAAGGCTCGAGCCAGTTCAGGAAACTTGGTGAGGCTCGACATACTGTGCCTTTGGATACAATAATTTGCTCGGGAATTGCACCGCATAAAAAAAAAAAAAAAAAAAAAAAAAAAAAAAAAAAAAAAAAAAAAAAAAAAAAAAAAAAAAAAAAAAAAAAAAACTCCGCTGACGAAGATAACGAGTCTAGCGAAATCTTCGGAAAAGAATATCGTTGAGTAATTCATGCGATGCATACAGTGTACGTGCGAACCCAATTTTGATCCCAGAGTCGGTAGGAGCTTCTGTTGGTGCATTTACGAGTTTGACATTCGGCAAACCCGTGCAAGTTTGCCCTAACCTGCTCCAAAGTGATTTCGAATTAAAAACGAAGCTCGCCCTAACAGTTGGACGACTTAACCGCCACATGGTCAACCCCACTCGCAGTCACTCCCACTCTGAAAGAGGTGGTGGCGGTGGGATAGGGAATTGTTGAACAAGAATGGATGAACTAACAGTGAAATGAGTACAAGTATGAAAACCTAGGAATGTGTACCCCCTATAGGCTAACCCACTGTGGCCTAAACAACTACAACAACGTATATAATGATTGACACACCCCCATAGGCGAAGTGGGGGAGAACTAGGGGTCACAAGACCAGTCAAGCAAAACAAAGCAAGCTCACGGTGGATCACAACGTCACCACACAATCCGAGCACAAGTGCAAGGCCACAAGGCCAGTTCACATGCAGGAGTACATATATATATAAGACTAAACAAGCAAGAGCAGTGATATCTATATGTAACAGTACAAAGAGGGTCAAGAGGAGAGCAAGTGAGGCAAGACAGACACAAGACCCAGCTGGGTACAGCAGCGCTGATGATCACAAGGCGGAAGTGCCTTGGTAAAGACATCAGCAGTGTTGGCCTCAGAGGCCACGTACGCAAGCCGCAACTGACCACGCTGCTGTAGCTCACGAGCAAGGAAGTAGCGGAGAGCAATGTGCTTTGTTCTGTGCTCCAGTCTCTGCTCCCGACACAAGGCCAGCATGGCCTTGTTGTCGACGTACAGGCCAGAACGAGGCGGCTCTCCAAGGTCGGTCAGCAGGTAGGTGAGCCAGCAAAGCTCCTGAGCAGCCATGGCCCCTGCGTAGATCTTAGCCTCACAACTGGAGCCGAGAACAGAAGACGAGCGAGTAGCCCGCCACGAAACAGAGCCGGAACCAAGGCTGAAGGTGTAACCCTGTGACGACCGCTGCGTAGCCTGGTCGTCAGC